CGGCACATGGGGCTGCCCCCCCAGCCTGGCAGTGGGGAAACCTCTGCCCCCCCATGTTGTTACATGTGCTGCAAATGCACGCACACACACACCGCCAGGATCAGTTTTATCCTGGTGGGGCCAGAGGTATGTAGAGAGCTGCTCCCTTGTGGCAAGGTACTGCCGGTAGCACTTTCTCATTTATACGATCATAAGGAAGTGCGCACATGGGGCTGCCCCCCCAGCCTGGCAGTGGGGAAACCTCTGCCCCCCCATGTTGTTACATGTGCTGCAAATGCACGCACACACACACCGCCAGGATCAGTTTTATCCTGGTGGGGCCAGAGGTATGTAGAGAGCTGCTCCCTTGTGGCAAGGTACTGCCGGTAGCACTTTCTCATTTATACGATCATAAGGAAGTGCTCCTGTAAGAAACTGCTACCAGCAGTAGCACAATCCTACAGGGATCAGTTCCAAACAGGTCCGGGTACAGAGCTGCTCCCTGTAGGAAGGTGCTACTGGTGGCAGTTGCAGGAACGAAGAACTGCTCCTGTAAGAAACTGCTACTGGGAGCAGCACAGTAAAAATAAAAGGCAGCAAGTGCTAGGAGAGAGTCACAGAAAGAATTGCCATGGACTGAAGTGTTGTGGAACAGTAGCTATGAAAACAGAAACACACGTGACAGCGACAGGCATGGCACAGAGCAATTCAAGTAACAGAAATAACATTTGCAAAGGTGCAACGCTGCAATGCAAATGAGCGGCAATTCGGTGATCCACGGGCAGCAGACAACACAAAGGTGTGAGCAGACGTCATGTCTTCTCGTTAGCCCCCTTTCCCCATCATTAACCCTTTTCAAATGTCCTGAGCAAAAAACTTCTACAGGGTAAGGGAAAAGAGAAGGGCAAAGGCGTCAGCAGCCCTACTGAGCATGCTCAGTGAGTCTGATTTGAATTCATAAAAAGCAGGTTTAAGCACATTAAAAAGCCCCCCTGTGATTGCTCCCTGTGATTGCTGCCTCATTCCCACGGGGGTGCCTGTTTTCACCCCTTCTGCCCTGCCTGTGCGGGGGCTTTCCCTTTCCCAGCTGTTCCTCTCCCCCATCAGCCCTACATTTGCCCCAGGACTGATCCTAACCCTGTCTGCAGCCGCTTCAGCCCCCCACGTGTAACCCTTTCCCTCCTTTTTTGTTTTTTTTTAACCCACCCCTTTTAAGAAGAAGTCAGCAAAAACTTACCCATGGAGCGGGCAGGGCGAAGGGCAGGGGCTTCAGCAGAGCTACTGCGCATGCTGAGGGCCCCCTAAGTAGCACAATCTCATAGGTAGCAGCTTTCTACAAACCACCAGCCCTAGATCCTGCTCCTGCTCCCCAGCTGTGTGACCCCCCCCCTCCCCACGCGCAGTAGGCGCGGCTCCTGCACAGACCCCTCCCCCTCTGCGAGAGGCGGGGGGGAGGGAGCAGCACAGGGGTCACGCCCCTCGGTGTGCGGGGGGGCTGCTCCGCCCCTTTGCCCGGGGCGCGCCCCCCACTTGCAGCCCGTGGGCCGGCTCCGGGAGGCGCAGCATCCCCTGCCCTGGGGAGCTCCCGGTCTGAGCTAAGCCCTGGCGCTGGACTGGAACCGGTGGCCCCCCCCCCCCCGCCCGCCGCCCCCCCCCCCGCCGCTGATGGCTGCTCTTCCCCTGCCGCCGCGCCACGCCGCTAGTCGCCGCTCCTCCCCTGCTGCCACTCTACTGGCTGCAGTAGGTCTGGCTCTCAGCCAAACCAGTGATTTCAGCTTAGTAATTTCAACTCTCAGCCAAACCAGTGATTTCAGCTCTCAAATGAATCCAGCTTTCACTGGACTAGCAAACAAAAAGACTCCTCAGGGAGTCTGCTTTAGGTCTGTCCTTAAAACAAAGGGGGGAAGGTGCAGGCTGGGCCAGTCTTATAGCTCACACCTGGTAGGTGTGAAGCAGGCTGACTCAAGTCCTTTAACCCTTTCCCCCAGCTCTGTTCACTCAACTCTGGACGGGGGCGGGGGAGGCTTGTTCTTCCGAGACCTCTTACCATGATGGTGGTGTCTCTCCTGCAAGCACTGGTGGCATGTTTGACAGTTCCCACATTTAGGGGTAGCATGATTAGTGACCCCCACAACAGTCCCAAATTATATACAATTCTCCACATTCCATTCCAACACTGACCCTCCATCAGCCCTGGCTGAATGGGATTTACATAGCCACACCTCGGATTCTCTCCTGAGCAGTATTTACATGTCAACAGTTAACAGTTAATTACCTTGTAGAGCTAAACCACTGTAGTGGGCACACCCACCCCTCCTTTCAGCTGGCTGACAGCAAGCAGCAGTTCAGCCCCTGCTTACAAGTCAAAGCCCTGAGTATGGCCCATTACACCAGCAGTTCACAACATACCCTTAGGGAGCAGTCAACCCAGGCAACACCAGGTGACTCTTCTGGTTGCTAAATGATGCACAGACCAGAGTGCCAGAGCTTACAGAGGGGGCCCCAAAAGAGAAGGGAAAACTAAGTTTAAGGGCCAGGGGGGTGGATGCAGCTGACTGGCAGCGATGTGCAATGAGTCTGTAGGGATTCCTTGGACCGGTGCATAGGGGAAAGCCCAGGCACCCTGACCAGGGGGATGAAAAGCCAATATCTCAGGTCGGCGCGCTCATCGCACTCACTAAGCGAAAGTCCTCACTGCTTTAGCCGCAGAAGATGGTCCAGGATTTGTGCACCAGATGACTGGAGGGCTGTGTCCAGACTCAGGGGTTTTTTCGAAAAACCCTCCCCTGCGTCCAGACTCAAGCCGCGTTCTTTCGAAATTAAATCGAAAGAACGCGGCTTTTCTTTCGACGGCGGTAAACCTCATTTCACGAGGAAGAACGCCTTCTTTCGAAAGTTCCTCTTTCGAAAGAAGGCGTTCTTCAATGTAAATAGGGCTTCTTCGAAAGAGAGCATCCAGACTCACTGGATGCTTTCTTTCGAAAAAGCAAGCCGCTTTTTCGAAAGTTCAACGTGCAGTCTAGACGCTCTCTTTCGAAAGAGGCTCTTTCGAAAGTATCTTTCGAAAGAGCCTCTTTTGAAAGAGGCTTGCAGTCTAGACATAGCCGAGGGGAGTGGAAGGTTCCAGCTGCATTCGTAGGGGGAAACGTCTCTCTTTACCCAAGCCCAGCCCTTGCGGAAGCCTGTCTGGTTTCTAGGAAAGCTCTGCCTGGCCAGCGAGGTGAGCCGGAGGGCTCCCAAGCCCGGAGCTGCCTGCGAGCAGAGAGGGTTGGGGGAGAGAGAAAGCCCTGCCAGATGGGCCCCCGGACCCCCTACCCCGAGTCCCTCCCCCCTCAGTCTCTCACCATGACTCCTCCTCAGCCTCATGCCCCCCACCCTGCCCTGTCCTCCCCAAGTCCCTCCCCTGACTCCTGCACCACCAGCCCCCTGCCCTGAGGACCCAGGCAACACCAGGTGACTCTTCTGGTTGCTAAATGATGCACAGACCAGAGTGCCAGAGCTTACAGAGGGGGCCCCAAAAGAGAAGGGAAAACTAAGTTTAAGGGCCAGGAGGGTGGCATGCAGCTGACTGGCAGCGATGTGCAATGAGTCTGTCGGGATTCCTTGGACCGGTGCATAGGGGAAAGCCCAGGCACCCTGACCAGGGGGATGAAAAGCCAATATCTCAGGTCGGCGCGCTCATCGCACTCACTAAGCGAAAGTCCTCACTGCTTTAGCCGCAGAAGATGGTCCAGGATTTGTGCACCAGATGACTGGAGGGGAGTGGAAGGTTCCAGCTGCATTCGTAGGGGGAAACGTCTCTCTTTAGCCAAGCCCAGCCCTTGCGGAAGCCTGTCTGGTTTCTAGGAAAGCTCTGCCTGGCCAGCGAGGTGAGCCGGAGGGCTCCCAAGCCCGGAGCTGAGGAGGGGCTCCAGCGGGAGGACACCCCCTGCCCGGTTCTACCTGGCCCAGGCAGAGGCATCACAAATCGATGAGCGGATCGAGACAGTTAGGTCTGGACACCAGAAGTGAAGCTGCTGCACTGGGGCCACAAGAATCAGCTGAGCCCACTCTCGTCTCCCCCCCTGGGACTCGGAGGCAGGTGGAATGTGCCAGCCCTGGAGCTGACCAGATGGGGAGGCTCCGAGGGCACCCATGACGGGACAGGGGAGGAGCTAAAGGAGCAAGGCGGCACCTGGTTTAAATAGCACCATGTTCTCTGCTGCATCTCCTGGAGAGCAGGGGAGAGGCCTGGGACGCTGGGTACAAGGAGACCCAGTTCTGTGCGTGGGGCCCCTATTTTTGAGAGCGCCCCCTTGGGAATGCCCCGGGCAAAGCCCGGCCACCGGCTGGGGAGGGGTCACCCTGGGAGGAGCTAAAGGAGCAAGGCGGCACCTGGTTTAAATAGCACCATGTTCTCTGCTGCATCTCCTGGAGAGCAGGGGAGAGGCCTGGGACGCTGGGTACAAGGAGACCCAGTTCTGTGCGTGGGGCCCCTATTTTTGAGAGCGCCCCCTTGGGAATGCCCCGGGCAAAGCCCGGCCACCGGCTGGGGAGGGGTCACCCTGACT